CTATACTTGTTATACAATGTGCATAATTATACATAATCTCGCATAAATGATCTACATAAACAATATGATTGAATTCATGGGAAAAAATGACAAAGAATAGCTTTTTTTGCAAAAAATTTCCCTTTTTGGTTAGTCTGAATGTACCTAGCGTGAGAAGTCTTGGAATTTTTAGTGTGGGAAAATAGGTTATATAAATAGCAACTATATAAAAACTTGGTATCAAAAAACATTTAACCTTAAACTATCAAAAAGCTGTTCCAACAATAATTAAATATATCTCTTCTAACAAAAGTTCAAATTCTTACTAAGTAATAATTTTTTAAAAAATTTTGCTATATAAAAACGATTTAGTCATATCATATAGAAGTATCAAAATATGTAAAGAACAAGTACAGAATTAATAAAAATTAATTTTCATTTTTTTTTACTAATTTTCTTATAAAAATCAAAATCTTATTGTATGGATCTATAAAAACATATATGAACAAGTCAATTTATTAATATATATTATATTTATGATATATTTATATTATATATATATATAGAAAGATTATAAAAGAGTCGTGAATATATAAAAAATGAAAGATTAAATATAATTAAAGTATGTAACTTGTATTTAATGAGATGATCAGATATGACTTGGATATTGATAAGTGTAAATATATATGATATAATAGACTAAATATTATTGGGTAATATTAGTAATAGATAAGATGTTATTAATTTGTAGAATTAGTAAATTTAATATTATAAGTTTGTATATAAATTATTTGTTTATTGTTCAGTTATATATATAGCAGCTTAATTATGATCAATCTATATATATATTGGATCAGCTATCATATACTTATATATAAAATTTATGAGTCATAATCAACTTATATGTATATCATATTGATCATTATCAGCTTGTATATATATTGAATTAATTATTGTTAGCTTAGATATATACTATATTAGCTATAATTAGATTATATATATATATCTGATTGGCTGTTATCAACTTATAAATATATCAAATGGATTATCAATTGCTCATATACCTATAGTGTATCAGCTTCTGTAAGTTTATATGTATATCAGATTGGTTATAATCACTATGAGAAAAAGGTGGTCTTTTTTGAATTTGTAACTTCATTTTTGGCCTATAATAATCAAAAAATCACCAAAAAATCCAAGTTGAAACAAGAAAATCTTTTTTCTTTGAAATGGTTGATAAAAAGCAAATGAATCGCTTAAAATTAAATCTCAGGAGAGACAAATGTCCATTCTAATTAAACATCTTACATTTTTGGTAAATATATATTGGAATTGAGAAATATTGGATGTCAGAAATAAAAAAAAAGAAAATATCTAAACTTTCTGCTGCTTGGATAAAATTTGGTAAGACAATTTGAAAAAAAAAGAAAAATTTATTACAAAAAGAAAAAAAACAAATTATATATCACTTAAGGCACCAAGTGTCAATTTTGGGCCACGTTTAAGGCTAGGCCAAATGATGTAATGGCTACCATTGACATTTGATGGCACCAAGCCAACCAACTCTACAATGTCACTGGCATGAATCACTATAGTCTTTGGCTTTACTACAGATGTAATAGGCAATCCATTTTTCAAATGCATACTATATATGGTTATGAGAGCTAGTGGCCATCTGTTTGAGTTGTGTACATGTTAGAAGAATATAACCACCTTTCTGAAAAAATGCTTATATTCTGGACAGTAAGAGCAGGATCTTCTGGAGTTCATGTCCACTTGTAGCTGCACATGAACATGACATGCCTCTCTTGTAGAACTTTGGTTGAATGCAGCATCAAGAACACAACCATTAAGATAGGTCTTGCGGCTTGTCTTTATGGAAGGCTCAAGCATACTACATTCTTCTCCCTTCAAATCATAAAACGTTTTAAGAAGCAATGAAAGATGAGATCTATCTTCAAAGCTATCAAAAATTGTTAAATTCTTCAAAGGCCCCCAGAACTCAATCTCAGACTCAGCATTGGCAGGATCACCTCCTTCTGTAACAGGCCACCCATTGGTATATGCACTGTAAACTAGAAGGTTAGCTGGTAGAGTTTTTGTGTTTGCAATGGTTGTCAGTTCTGCTACATGCCGGGATTGTGCCAGTCTGATCATAATGTTTCCAGCGTTGACACTGACTTGGGAGTTACTCTTGATAGATCTGGAGTACTCACCAATGGCTCTTTCCATGGATCGTGTACTATACGCTCTTGGTGGGCCATATAGATCAATCATCTGAGGATAATGCTGAATAATGTGCTGGTTAATTGTGAACACACTAATGTCAATATCTGCTGTAGAAAGAAGACTCTCTAGGAATAAGTTCCATTCTACAAGATTACTAAGAAAAAAGATAAAAGTAAATTACTATGAAAAATGAAATAAAATATGGCATTAAACATATCTTCTTATTGAGGTTTGATCCTCTGCTGATAACTCCCAGCTCATGAGTAAATTGCATGTTTGAACCAGGCCAAGTAATGCATTTTGGGCAACCAAGTCCTGGACACACTCTGCAACCAACGTGGGGACAACAAAGAGTAAAAAGTCTGCCCAATCCACAGCTCTAAAGAAACCAGCATTCTTTGTCACATCTCTCCAGGCACCATACAACGATGTAGGGATTGTGGATTTTGCGGCTACCATTGCAGCACCAATCTCCCTTTGCGTGGCAAGAGAAAGACATAGAGGATGCTTGATTCCATACTTTCTGCATACAAGTCCCCATACCTGTTTACCGATTCCGTGGCACAGACCATGCATCTCGTCTAACGCAAAAAAATGGGCCAGAGAATGTTTCCATTGAAGCTAATGGTGACTGACCATTGAGCCCCTTTCTGTCTTCACTGCTTGTCAGATTGTAGTTTCTGAAACTCTCCAGTGAGCGCGTCTGGGTTCCAGGCAACATGCGGAAGTACTGGTCATGTTTAGGAGTTTGGCCCACTATGTGACAAATACAACAGCCATTCTTACTCGTGTGGCCAACATGGCATGCCAGCTTTGCCAGAGCTGGAATATCGCCAGTGGCCATGAGGACATGTACCTTTGCCCTGATCGTTGTTGTCGGTGTCTTTACTCCCATGCTTTCTGTCTGGAGTAAACAGAGATCTCTCAACATTGGCTCAAGAAAAGACCAGTGCAACCAGGAAGCATTGCTATTTGGATCATCCTGTTTTTCTCATAATGGATCGTCGGATTCAAGTTCAAGACAGTTGCATGAACAATGGTTACTGATCCAGGTACATTGTGTGGGTTGAACCCGTCCATGGACAACGAAATCGCAATATTGTTTTCATCAGAAAACAGATGCTTCATGGATTGGTATACATGACCATCGAAAACATCTGCTTTCTGCCCATCTTGGCTGGATTAGTGGTTATGACAATAGAGCATTTCAGCTCTGGTCTTGTCATCAGCCAAGCACAAAGCAAGCTGTCTGGCCAAAGGAAGCTGTACGATCGATCTCACAGGAACCCTGGTGTCACTTTTGCTAGTTTGGCCATTTTTGTATCTTGCTTCACCGCATTTTACGCATGCGATATCATTCTCATTGCTGAACTGCATACAACCTCTGATGCAAATGTCGTATCTGTCTGCTTTGATACCCAAGAAGCGCTCAAGAAGCTTGTTTCCAAGGTGTGGGCTGTATGCTCAGTACGTAATATTGATAGAACAATCAAGGATCTGGTTGAGGTGTTCTACAATCCTTTTGTGGGCTCGATGAGAAATTCCAAACTCTTGGATCAACTGCATGAACGCGAGATTCTTTTTATCATCGTTGCTGGGAACAGGAAGAGGCTGGCTAAAATCAAAGACTAGCGAGGGTGTGGTGCCTTCAATTTCGTCAATGACATTCTTGCATTCTTCTCCAAAATTGTACTATAGTAAGATAAACAACAATAAGTATGATTATCATAATATATGTATTTATATATCTCACTATGGACTCATCATCTTCAGTACTGTCAATGATATCTATATCCTCACTACTGCTTGTGTTGATGTTTTCTCTGTTTTTTTATCAAAGTATACAGCTAATTAATATACTGTCTATCATTTTGTGTTTTTGCTTTTGATAAGCTTACCCAAAAGCCAAGTTTGGAACCATTGCTGATGTAAACTGGCTTTGATCAGAAAGAGAGACAGTTTGGGAAACTTTGCCATTGGCAAGTAATTCTGCCCTATTTGTCATGCATCGTTTGAGACATCTTTTATATGTTTGACTGTTATTAAAGGTCGACTTGCAAGTACAGCATTAGTAACAAGTGGCTTTTGTAATTTTGGACATGTTTGAGGTAGGTAAAAAAAACTGTTATATAAGTAAGAATAGAATTAATTACTTTTTGAATATATAGCTTTATACTTAATTATATAAAGACAATAACGTTATATGCATTCTGAATATATGCTCGGGATCTTAAAGAAGTGTATGTATGTCATCAGTGAAGTTACTAGATCAATGTTTCTTCAGGAGTAACCAATAGATTTGTACAAATAATTTGAAATTAATAATTTGAAGCTAAAAAATTGAAGCTAAAGATTTGAAACTAATAATAGTTTCTGATAAAAAATTTTCTCTTTCTTTCTTTTTCTATAATAAACACGTAACTGATTTTTTCTTACAATTATGAACAATACAGACAATATAGTGATTCAGTTGCTTCAAGGAATACAAGCTGCACTTATTTCCCTAAAGAGTGGTCAAGAAGCATTGCTAGGCTGTTAAGAAGCATTAGAAAAAAAAACAAGATGCGATGCAACTTCAAATGACAAGTTTTTACAATGAATTTAAAGATCAGGAATTTTCAGATAGAACTATTGTAACCTCTACCAGTGTAAGCAAATACTATAACAACTAAAGTCCTTTCAATTAATGTCAAACATAATAGACTCTTACTGACATCATTCCAAGACCCGTATCAAAAATCAACGATATAACTTTAAAGCATATATACAAGATAATAACAGACAATCTTAGAATAGAATTGACCGAGGAAACCAAGAGAATTGTTAACACATGTACCAAGATCATATGTGATCAACTGGCAGCTCTTCCATCTGTTCAGGATCTTGGAACAAACCCTGGCTGGTCATTGCTTCCTCAAGAGGATAAAAACAGGCTGTGTATCAATCATTCCATCATACTCAGAGACAATGGAATCGATTTTACCAGATGCTACAGAAACTGGGCATCAATTGCAAGGGTTAGCCAGCTCTGGAGAGGGCGTAAGAAGCGAGAATACTCTGGTAAGTTCATATCTAGTAGGTACAATAAATTGTATAATTAATATGAGAATATGTAATAATCTGAAGAAATTTTAGCTAGTACAATTCATGAATAAAATATTATTTCTATTATAATAACCAATAAAAACATTTTTAAATAATGATCTTCTATGAAATAAAATTTTTTTGCCCAATTAAAACTGTGAATGGATCAGAATACATATATGATAACCAATTGAGAGAATGCTTTTGTTTAAATGACCAATACTATCAATGTACATACTGCAATAAAGTTTATATTATCCAATTAAAAGTAGCAGTATAACGAAAGTGTTTTATGAATGACAATACAAAGATTCTTTTTTTTATCTATACCAATAAGAAAGCTCTTTTTTATTTTCTTTCTACCAATAGAACGAGAAGAATAATACATAAATTTAAATATCAGGATATAAATAAAACCTAACATCCATCAGTCAACAAAGATCTAATTATATTTCCAAAAATAGGGATAGTCTTTTTACTGGTTTTACCAAAACTGCCACCCAAAAGACCACCTAAAATACCACCTAAAAGACCACCAAAAAGACCACTTTTTTTCCTGTAGTGAATCAGTATATATATATATATATATTAGATTAGTCACAATTAGCTTATATATATTAGGTCAGCTGTCATCTACTTATATATATATATTTAATCAGCTGATATTTACTTAGATATATATCAGATTGACCAACATCAGCTTATATATATATGAGATCAGCTATCATTGATTTATATATAATATCAATTGACTGTCATCCATTATATATATATTAAATTGACAGTTATTAGCTTATACATATATATCAGATTGGCTATTGTTAGCTTATATATTAGATTGACTATCATTGATTTATATATAATGCTAATTGACTGTTATTTACTTATATATATATCAGATTGACTGTTATTAACTAATGTATATATCAGATTGGCTGAAAGCAAATAGTATATATATAATATTGGCTGTCATTAACTTGCATATATATCCAATCAGCTGACATCTACTTGTATACACACCCACTGAAGTTTTTTTAATCTCAATGATGAAAAAGAAAAAAAAGTGTTTGTAAGGGTTTCCTTTTTAGAAAACTCAGACAAGTTTCGAGGGGGGTTTTCCTCAAATAGTAGAATTGGAGGGGGGCAAACATTGGAAATTTTTTTTTGGCTCAAAAAAGATATATTTTATTTTGTTTCAAAAAAAAGAATTAATTCTTGTAGTATTTCAGGTACGAAACAATAGAAAAATAAAATATTTGATAATAGAGACATATAGAAATACTTTGATACTGTATATCAGTTGTCTTTATTCATAAATAAAAAGTGTCCCTTTTTATAAGAAAACACAATCTGCTCTTGTCATTACGTCTTAGTTTCTTAAGGCTTTCTTCCTTTACTATATTTGGTTATTAGAGTGTATTTACTGCTTAACTAGTGTCGGAGTTACAATTATGACATCAAGTCATAAATCGTACTTCTTTAGCTCTTAGCTATTCTTTTCTTTTTTATACTAGAGCTTTAGGACTTCCTACTAAATTAGCTCTGTATCGATCTGACACAGTTTACCTGGCAGTATAATATAATTATCTTAACAATCTTTAAGATATTATCTACAGTACTAACTATAATAATTATTGGGCTAATTACTTAATCATTTATATAAATTTTATACTGACAAGATGATAGCTACTACACTATCCCCATATGAATATGTTCTTATATGTGTTAAATCCAACATCCGAGTGTCTGGATCACCACAATTCTACTAAGTATTTTATAAGCTATAAGCCGTTTCTTAATGGAAGCAGCTTTTACAGGTTTGAGAAAGCTAATAAATAAGAAAGCATATTAATATAACAATTTACAGAATGTTTATTTAAGTAGAAAATACCTTTTTATACTGCGTATATATTTACTAGCTATCATTCAAAACTTATCCAAGAGAAGTAAAGAAACAATTAGAATATGGAGCATAGATGATGTACTGTTTTAATATATATATTTAGTCCATACCTAATGTTTCTATAGCAAAAAAGCTGATTATGTATCTGGATAAATATCCTTGGTCTGCTGATAAGATTTGATTCCGTAATCTCATCTTTGCATCGCCTTTGAAGCCTAGCTAGATTATGATTTAGTAAGAATTCAAATAGATGCATAATAGAAATAGTACTCACTTTAATAAACTTCTATAATGTAGTATTCTCTGGCTAGATTACACTTGCGGTTTACCTTTAAACGATGACATGAAAATAATGAAAAAAAGAGACAAGTAAACAATTAGAAAATTAGCCTAAAGTCTATTATGTCCCTTTGTTTTTTAGTAGTCTCAGGAACTTATGAGTGGTGGCACTATGTCAAGAATCAGTGTATATGAGTACTTCTTTATTATATTCTTAGCAGTATTACTATCAAAGAAAGTCTAAATAGTTATAGAAAAATATAATAATATTAATGGTACATCAAAAATAATATAACAGCAATAAAATTAATGTAAACTTTTGTCATTATTGCTGACAATTACTGTGACATTGCAAACTTATATAATATAGTTCTCATTAAAATCTACTATAGTAATGTTGGCATTAGCTAGACTATTGTTATTTACTTCTATTACTCAAAAAATAATAGAAAAATATTTCGTAATGCTATATATTATGGCATGCAGTTGAGGATGTTCAATGACATGACAAAAAAACACAAATGATGAAAATAACTTAGAGAAAAATTATGTTTTCCAATAAATTTTATCCAATTAAATCTTCTGTTTTCTAACTCTCTGTCATTCTCCCCCCATTTCATACATTTATATCATCTGAATTCTATTTATGGTATACCAAAATATTATTTCATTTTTTTCTGGAATATGTCTCATCATTTTGCCCCCTCAAATCTGAAGCTTTTCATGTTTAATCTCAATTCATACTCTAAGCCAATAGAAAATTTGTTTTTGAGAAGAAATTTTCATATATAGAAGAAACCTCAGTGAGTATGTATATATAATATTGGCTGTTATCTGCTTATATATATGTGAGATCAGCTGACATTCACTTGTATATATATTAGATCAGCTGACATTAACTTATATATATATAATATTGTCTGTCATTCACTTGCATATACACCTGGCTTAGGGTGAAATTGACTTACTTCTAACTCCGCCATGACTTCTTTCTATGCAAGAAGATCATTCTCTATTTTTCTTTTATTTTAATTTCGTAATCTCTTTAATAAAACAAATCACAATGCCAAATAACAATAAAGCTAAAACTACTAACTCATATTATAAGACAACAGATTTCAAAAAAGAAATGATTATTGGAAGATATAAAGAAGGACATAGCTCCTATGAGATTTCAGATGCAGAAGGCATACCCCAATCAACTGTTTATTGTATAATTAAAAAATACAAGACAAAGAAGATGTGCGCTGAGAAGGAGTATCTTGGGGCTTCTAAGAAGCTATTACCACAGGCAATTTGTTATTTGAAGTTCACCAGAAAAAAAATAAATGCAACACATTAGCTACTATCACGCGCAGTGTTAAAGAGATGTTTGACATCTCAATCAGTCAAGCAACAGTACGCAAATATCTGTACGATATGGATCTTCACTTTTGTGTTGCTGTAGCCAAGCCTTACCTGGATGAAGCACATAAGAAGGCACGCTTGCAATGGGTTAGGGAGCAAAAAAATTGGAATGATGAATGGACATCAGTAATCTGGAGTTATGAGTTCAGATTCACCTTTTTTCAGAAAGGTGGACAGCAATATGTTTTGGCGCCAACCTCATGAGAAGTATGATGATGACTGTCTGGTACCAGCAATGCAAGGGTTGGGTGGTTCAATATCAGTTTGGGGATGTATTTGGGCAGGAGATGTTAACCCACTAGTTATATTAGATGACTACATGACAAAAGAAA